ACTGATTGATTGCGATATTTTGAACAAATGAACTCAAAAGATAGATTAAAGAAAAGAAAGAAAGGGCAATAAATGTCATCCTTGAACACAGTTCACATGTTCAAAAAGGAGTAGGAGGAAGTCAGCAATGTTGTGTGCGGCACAGACTCGTTTCTGCTACAATGCACTAAGTGCGCACAGCATTTGAATACTCAAACCACTCCGCATATTTCACAGCTGACGGCTGCTGGAAGTTTGACATTTGGCAACAAGCGGGCATCTGCTCCCGTAACCCATGCCCAGAATAACCCTCACACTCCCCGACACACAAACACATACTAACTGCTCAGCATCAGGACCGAAGTTAAAACAAACCATCAGGAGGTCCCGTCACATCCACTCAGCACTTAGCAACAGACAGACAGCCCTGTTTATACACTCGCATTCACATATTATTTCGGTGCGCATGTGCTCGCTACAAGTACAGAAAGACGCTTGCTGTGGGTGCCAGGTTGCTTGTGATTACTGCTGGGCACCGCTGCTCTCACACGTAAGCAGACACGTAAGCGTGCTGTACAGCCCACACCAAGTGAATCAAGTAGATTCATGAACCGCTTACGATGCTGACGAAACAACACTCATTTATTGCTTTGATGGTCTCGTCAACAGACAGCACTCATTTATCCTGGAGTCTTCAAAGGTTAGTATAAGTTATCATTTCAGGAGGAAGGTGAAAATTCCATTGAGTGATTTGAAATATATTGCACAATTTTGTGACACATTGACCTTTTTACACATTTAAGTAGTTGAATCTTATGCTTATTTAATTACGGATTTTTCAGAAAGGACCATTGAGCCTGCTCAAAAATGGGCATAAAAAAATAAATTCACTTTTAAAGTTGTCGTTCTTGATCAAAATGGTTAAAATGATGAGGGAATGAAAAATGTAATAAAATGAAAGAATCTGCATTAAGGCACTTTGTGATTAATTTCGCCCTTTAAGAACTGTGGATTGTAGTAAAGTGCAATATGAATGTATTATTATTAGCAGTAGTATTATTAGTATTATTGTTATTATTATTATTATTATTATTATTATCATCATCGAATGGTCTCTAAGACAATGAGTTTCAGTCTTCTTATAGAGTCGTCTAGCTGCAAGAACTGATTGAAGTTTTTTTTTTAAGAGTATATGTGTGGAACTTTCGAATTAGTCAATTAATCCATGAGCAAAATACATAACAATGATCACAATGACTCAAGTTCTGTCAAGTCCATAAGTGTAGAGTGGAAACGGAGGATGAGTCCTCTCTGAATCCTTATTTTTCCCCAAGACATTTGAGACAATTTTTGCTTCCAACTTTTTGGGAACAGTGCCCATTCCTTGCCCTAACCTCAAATGACTCAAGACCGGAGATCGTCCCAACATCGATGACCTTTGACGCCACAATTGTTACACCGGTTGAATTGACATAAATTCCCAAAGACAATCCCCAAATTATTGCAAATCACATACAGCAAATCATTCAAAAGTAATGAAACACAACTTACAAGGTACTGCATTGAAAAAATTTATTTTTTCATGGAATAAAATGCACTACAATAAATACATGTGTAATGCTTTGATTCCTATCAGGCAACACTTCTGTAAAGGCCAGCAGCCTTTACGGCATGTTGATTTATACACATAGACAGAATAGACAGTTTGACGATGCAAAATTGCTCAAGTCAGACAACTTCCGCATTAGTGGCAATCTGAGGCCCGTGTTAAATTGGACTTGACCCTCATGCTTTCCCACGCCGCTTAATGCGCTTAATAAGAGCCAAAAACACATCTCAAGCATGAGACAAATGCAGATTGGTGTTGAATTGAGACTCAAAAAGCAACCACGATGATCTATCTTCGTGTTTGGATCTGGAGCTAGCCACACATCACTTGAACGCCCTTCCATCACTCAGCTGACACCACATGGTGATTTACGATCTGTTTAGGAAGACTGTATCTCACAAAAATATGAGGAAGGCTCAAACTCTTTCTGGTATATATATAAAATAATGTGTGTGTGTGTGTGTGTGTGTGTGTGTGTGTGTGTGTGTGTGTGTGTGTGTGTGTGTGTGTGTTCATGAAGGGCCTGCGTATAGTTCTTTCTAGTTGCACGTTACCCTATATAGACCGCATGCTTATTGGGATGCACTTTGAAAGCAAATGACAAACTGGGAGTGAATAAACATAAATCCACGCTGCGGTCCGAAACAGGGTTATGATGACCGAGAACATGTGATTTCTGTTGGTCATAGTTCTCCATTTCCCGGCTGTTGTCAGAGATTTCCATCACTAACCAAACCAACCGTGCTGTAAACACAGCGCTCATTTGTTTTCTCCTCAGAGCAATTATATCATGTGATTTAAAACATTTTAAATAGAGCCCGCGCCGACTTTTATTTGTGTAAAGCGGATCTATTTCATGTCGACCAGTAATGTAATAATCCCGAGCTGTCATTACGGCCCAGTTCCCCCAGCGCGCCAAACTCCATCTGATCTCCGCATTTATGAGAACCAGACTGGCGCACAAAATCACCGGTCGCCGCGGAAGAGAGCGGAAAGTCAAAAAGAAAGCGACTTTTACACGACGGAAACGGGCCACGGGTGCCGGCTCGAAGCAAAGTCTTCAAATTAATATAGGAAATGTTTGCTTCGAAAGAAATGTGGTGATATTTCCACCTTCCAGATGGCCTGAATAAACAGACGAAAATATTTGGACCGCTAATTAACCATTAGTGCTCCTAAATGTTCTCTTTATTTATGCCTACGCCTTAAAAGCAACGGAAAAGCATTCGATATGATTCAAGTTCAAACAAAACACATCGGAACATTTAATTCAATCAAAGTCATGAGTGTGGCCTCAAGAGGTTCCATCATTTGCTTGATGTGCTGGTTGTCATTTTGCATTTTAGGGACCCACTGGCGTTGCAGCTCTAAAACGCTTTTTTTTAACAAATGGGATAGTTACATTGTGCTACTCTATTATATGCGCACACCTTCCCCGATTGGCGATAATAAAACGACGTACCACTGAATAACTTCATTTTCCCTTCAATTGTTATTGAGCAGGCTACTGCAACAAGAAAATAAAAAGAATAACCTGTTGATGGCTGTTGATGAAATCTGAAAAGAATCCAAAATGTAAAATGCAATGATGATTAAGATTTGTGACTTTCTATTCACTTTGGCTAAATTAAACTGAAAACAAATTTTGAATCCAGTACAATTGAAGCGCAGTGGGGGGATGTGCGCTATACCCCCCCCCTCTCTCTCTCTCTCTCTCTCTCTCTCTCTTCTGTGAAGCACAGAACGGAACAAGCCCACCGAGGCAGAGGAAAGGGAGACCTCTGAAACGAATGAACTGGAGAGGGGGATAATGTAGTGAGCAAGGGGAGGCGTGTCAACAATCAGGGACTTGGATGCAGGGGAACATCTTGGCAAACACATGGAATGGACTCGGATTAATTACGAAGCGTCAAGGACCCGAAGCGAGAGGGGGAAAGCAGCTCCCTGCGGTGCTGAGGTTCTGCTGCGGCTCCTGGATGAGCCGGGATTCCGAAACCCGCTGGGTGCAAAGTTAATGTTCGGAAAAACCTCGCGGGATGTCGTCGGCTAAAATGCAAGGTCTCAGCTCCAAGGCGCACGCCTTTTCCGTCGAAGCGCTGGTGGGGAAACCCTGCAAGAGGATGAAAGTGTCGGAGGAACAGGTCTCAAGTTCACGAGGACACACTGACACCGATGCTAGCATCTTCACTGGTGAGGAAAAAAAAAAAAAAAAAAATACGAATTGATTTTTTTTTTCTAAATGACTGACACAAACCTGCAATAGGGCAAATGAAGAAAAAAAATTTCAATCTTACAAATCAAATTTCAAATCACCCATGGACACGTATTGGAGAGATAATTATTTTATAGTGGGATAATATACCACTATTCACAAAAATAGTTGTCTGAAGCATCACGGTAAAATGAGAAGTAAATTGTTTCGTTTTTCAGAATCAGCGGAGTGCCGCGTCACCCAAACGCACAAAGAGGATTTTCAGGCCATGGAGGCCGAAGCGGTCGGGTTATCCAGCAAGCCCAAACAGAGTGAATGCACTCTGCGGAGAGAGGTGCGGGTCGAGCTGCAGGGCTCAGAGCTCTGGAAGAGGTTCTTTGAGATCGGCACCGAAATGATCATCACCAAAGCTGGAAGGTAATTTTCTTTTAAAAAGCCATGTAAGAAAGCATGTGCATAAAGTTACCCAGATTAATTACCAAATTAATGTATGGCGACATGTTACAGACGCGGAGCCAATACAATGTAATATTTTTTCTATTCCATATTTGAAATGGCTCCTTAAAATATAAAACGTGAAAATGGCATTCAAGTCATTCCTAAGCGATCTACAAAAAATATTTTGCAGACGACTTAGTGTAGGAAATCGTGTTTGAAACAGAAGTGAACGCACAGGGCGAAAAAAACGAAGACGGTACTTTCTAAACTTATGATGCAGGCTAAAGCATTCATAATGCAGTATGTTTTAAAAGGACTATTGCTGTCATTTAAAAACACAATCGCTTCGTACAACATGTAATATGGGATAAAGCATAGCTTTCACGTCAAATTTAATTTTAAATTCACTCGACTTCAACTATTTATTTTTCAACCACATTTTATTAAATGCATCGTCGACAATGCAGGACGAACGGCATCTGCAGTTTGCAATTGTGTTTTTATTTCCACTGAAAGGAGTGAGTGCCGCTTTCACGAACTGAAATCTGGGTTCCGTTAATTTAATTACCGAGAAAACAGGTCGTAAATCTCGGGAGTGCTGATGTCCCACACCGGGCCCCGACATGAACCTTTGATCTGAATATGAATTTGTCCGTTTTAAAAAAAATGCGTGCTCGCGTGTGTGCGTGATATATATATCACGCAGCGGTATGCATTTGAAATATGCAAATGATGGGGTGCAGAGCTATATATATATATATA